AGGCTAAAAAAAGTGGTTAGTTGTTAAAATGAACGCAAAATTAGCAGAATTATTTCAAAGAAAGCATTTTTGAGAGCGAAAAAGAGATAATTTGTATAACCGAATAGTGTGGAATTATCAGCAAAATGCTGTCGTTTTTCTTTGGCTGACGATTTATATTTTCGTGTTTTGCCAAAAAGGGGCTATTTTTTTCACCGAAACGGGCTGGTGGCTGGCAGTTCGAATCATAATTCTGGTAATTAGTCTATTTTTGTGGTAGTTCACTCTCGTGCGAAACATTTTTGATTGCTATTACAAACTTCCTCGCTACCAACGAAAAATCTGTGAAGTAGACCACAAGATTATTGAGGAATTAAAAAAATTATAAATCATATTATGAGTGAGTTACTAACCATTAAAGCGTTGGATTCTTTAATGGCTTTCTGAATTTTCTTCTCACTTCTCTCCTTTTTGATTTCTTTTTTTGTAAAAAATGAGAAAAATAAAAAAGTAATCTATGCTTTTTGTGTTTCTTTATTTGTTTGATATATTATTAGTTGTGCAATTGTCAATTTTTATAATATTTCTAAAAAGGGCGGTTATTTTGGTGATTTTTTTTTTAGCAGTTATGTTGATTGTTCCTTCGCTTATTTCAACTTTAATTTATTGATATTTTGTTCTCAAAAGAAAAAAATAATTAATCATGAACGCTATCGAAAATTAATTAGCAAAAAATTCTAATTATTAATACTAAAAATAGTATAATTATGGGAAAATTAAATGTTTATACTAAACTCCAACTCATCCAATCCGAAATCAAAGAACTCATCCGCACTGAGGAAAATAAATTTCAAAAATATAAATTTTTTAATGAATTGCAGGTTCTTAAATTACTGAGACCACTCTTAGAAAAATATAAATTAACCCTTTTATTAAGTGATGATACCAGCCAGCCCTTAATTCACGAAAAAGAAGGAAAAGAACATTTTATTAAATATCTAAAAAAATTAGAGATAGTGGATGCCGAAAATCCCGAGCAACGCTTATTATTTAACTTTTGAGCAGTGGGCAGCAATGTGGATTTAGCCAAAGCCAAAGGCTCTAGTGAAACTTATGCCACTAAATATCTGTTAAGCAAATTCTTTTTGATGCCAGTGAAGGATGAGGCGGATCCTGATTATAGGCGAGGAGAAGAAAAAGACGGCATGACTCCCGAAGAAAGAAAATCCGTCAATGATTTTCTCCAAAAACATGGTTGAAACAAAGAAGAGAAACCACAAAAATAAATAATGATTTACCAATTAAAAAAAATCAGAAAAGTAAATGCGAATATTTTCAATTATACAAAGATAAGAAAAATAATTGAGAGTATCAAAGATACGGACCTTTTTCAACAGGCTTTTCGCCATACTTCTTACCTTAATGAATTAAAATTAATGAGAAAAAATTACGCTGAGCCGGGTTGAGAAGATAACGGTCAACCACTTTCTTCTTACGAGACTTTGGAATTTTTAGGGGATAGTGTGCTAAATTTTTACGTTAGTTTTTTCGTTTACCACCAATTTCCTAATTATGTGGAAGGACAAATGAGTAAATTGAAACAATTGATGGTTCAAGAGAGCACTTTGGCTCATTTGAGCCGAGAAATCGGTCTTGGGGAATATTTGCAACTGGGAACGGGAGAGAGAAAAAACCAGGGAGCCGATAAGGAGAGTATATTGGCGGACGTTTTTGAATCTTTTACAGCGGCCCTGTATTTAGAAAAAGGAGGCAAAACCGTTCAGCGTTTCCTCAATTTAACTATTTTTACTTGGGTTGTTGGCAAAGAAAATATGATTTGGGACCACAAGAGTCAATTACAAGAATATTGTCAGGCCCGAAAAAATAGAGTTGTCTACCGTTTGAAAAGAGCATTGAGAATTGGACATCAGCAATTATTTATTATGGAGGTCAGCGACGAACAGGGAACTTTTCGGGAAAGTGGTCAGGGTCGGAGCAAAAAGGAGGCCGAACAGCAAGCCGCCGCCAAAGTGATTGAAAAATTAGGGATTGGGGAAAAACCGAACCATTAACAAGTTGAAAAAGACGAAAATTTTTATGTTTGCCTTAATCAGGCTGAAAATCCTGCTTGGTTAAATTACTAATAGAAGTTTTAATTAATAATACTTTTTCGTGGTGCTTAATAGTGGGATAAAAAGGGGCAACGGCAATTATTTTGTCGTGGTTTTTTAGTATGTTACGGAGAATGTTGGGATTATCATCTATTACCACTTCACAGTCAGGCACATTTTTTTCAATTCATTCTCCCTTTGTTTGTCCTTGACCCTCGCTATCAAATCCCAGTAAATTCAATGAGCAATTAGAAAATCTGCCAAAAGTTTCCTTGAATATTTTTCTTTTGCGGGGGTCGCCATCCGGAAAAACTCTTTTGTCATAAGCAGACAAAAAAATTACTTCAACTTTATTTTCTTTAACTAATTTTAATAATTCCTTAGCCAGAGTAAGAAAGGGAGAATTCTCGTAAAAATCAGGCTCGTTTTTTATTTTATCAACTTTATCTTTAATGCTTCTTGGGCCAAGACCATAACTAATGCCTTTCTCGGTTTTGGTTGGTAAGCAACTTTTCACCATGCTTTTTTCGGTATAAAGGGAATGGCTGCCATAATCAGAAAAATAAATTGGAGCGTTGGGTCAGAAATCCCGAAAAAATTCCTCAAATGCGGTTCCGTTTGGCTTTCACCAGGGAGCATCATAATAGGCTCCTTCTCGTTCGGATAATTCATAATATACTTTGGGTTCAAGAGGTTGAATTACTTCGTCTCAATCACAAACTACTTTTAATTTTTTAGGAGTATTTTTAAAATGGGAGTATAGACAATTAATTATTTTTTTTTCTGATGTTTCCATATTTTATTTTTAAAACTTAAACTTTATTTAAAAAACATGCTGTCGCGACAAAAAACTTAAAAAAATGCATAATAAAAATACAAAAAATAATTGTAAAAAAGGGCTAAAAAAACCTGGCTACCAGGAAAAAAAATATTTCAACTAGTAATATAAAGAAATGAAAAGGATAAAAAACTATTCTTGGCTTTTAGAAGGGGTCATAGTTTCTATTATTTGTTCGTTAAGTTGGTTAATTTTACGAGAACAATTTTCTAACCTTTCTTTATAAACATTGAAAAAAATTGAAAAATAAATAAAAAAAATACTATTGACTAAAGTCAAGAAAAAAAATAATAATTTAAAAGTTGTCTGCAAATCTTTAATAAAAAATAGACCGAAAAGGATAAAAAATAAAAAAGAAATTAAAGCAAAAATAAGTTTCCGTCTATATTTGTGAAATAGAGAATGATAAATTTTAAATTTCTTTTCCTGACATTTTTTGCTAATAAGCAGACTATTTGAATATCCCTTACCTTTCATATACTTATTTTTTAGGGCAATGCTTACAGCATCCTACTCCTGAACTAAGAACGATTAGTCCAGCATCTCTTAAATCTTCGGTATCAGTGGCAAGTCCAACAACCGTGGCTACTCCGCCAGTTCCTATTGCTGGATATGTCATGGCGGCTCCTAGTGGTGGGCAAAAAGCAGCAAAACCAAAAAATCATTCTAAACCTTTAAAATAATAAATATATTGAAATTGTATGGCAGAAGCGAAAACAGGAAAAAAAGAAGTATACGAAAGTTCAAAGCCTCATGTAAATATTGCGACTTTA